GATTAGGGATGAGCAAGCAGGTTTCCGCCCAAGATGGGACTGTATCGACCATATATACACTCTGCGACAGTTTTTATAGCAGCGTCACATTTACCGTAGATAGGCCGTAGCTGTATTCCTGGACTGCAAGAGTGCGTTCGACTCAGTCGATCGATCCATACTGTTCCAAAGCTTGCGCGGAAATATGTTCCCATGAAATGTCTGTACCTTTAATTTGCGCTGTACTCGAACAGCCCAAGCTGGTGACTTGTCGGGTATCTTTCCAACAACAAGTGGCGTACGTCATGGTTGTCCAAGTTTCACATTTTTGTTTAACTTCGTCATGGACTTCATCATGGATTGTTTGCTTGCGGAATCTTATGATACAGGCGTCGATTTGGTACCTGCGGAAAAACTGGTTGATCTTGATTGACGCTCTAGCCAACCGACTTCTCAATTTTCGCCAATGAGGACCGGTCAGCTCAATGCGAGCACTGCACAGACTATATCAACTTTAGTTTAAATCTTTATTGCCCCATTGTGACCATCTAGCTTCGGATTGACAGATTTTCATCTTCAATACTCAAGCAAGTGCGCAGAAAAAAGACAGGCTTACAAATACAAGCTAACGGTCAGTGTCAAATGTCTGTCCGTGGCCATAAAAGCCGAGGTAACAACTTTAAACGTCTTAAACATTTCAAGGCAAGTGAAAATAAGCTTTATGTATCCAGATGGGTACATTTTCAGCACTTTACAATATCGACTACGGATGGGCTAAAATTACATGGTAGAACTACATGAGTAGAACTTGGTATGAATGAAAATAGGACACGGTGTACAGGTGTACGTTGAGTAAACGGTCCGTATAAACGAGCAACAATTAAAGATTTCCGGATAGAATAATCTTTGGGAGGTCAGCGTTGAAAGCTAGAGTTCCAATCGGGTCGGTCCATCTTCAAGTGCGCAGTATCTTGAGTTTTTCTCAAAAAGTAGGCGAGGGACAGCAGTGTTGACCTTGGAAATAGTTTGATGAAGGTCAATGAGGAAGTATCCCGAGAGAACTAAAGTACCCATAACGATATTATAAAAACGATGTCCGGTGAAAACGCCACGACCGATTTAAAGATCCCGCCAACACAATGAAGCCGTTTTAGGAGACCACTGTTGCTGTGACTGGAGGATTTTGAAGCAAGTCACTGGCTAAAGTTTCAGTACCCCATTCGGTACTGTGGATAGGGGCAAGCGCAACGCATAATTTAACTTCTCATCACCAAACACGTCTCCATACCTTCCTTTCCCATCAGTGACACTCCCACCTCATTTGGCTATCTCAGTGTTTATAAAGAACTCATAAGACTGAGGCCAAACGAGGCTAATGGCCCCGATCCCTTTTCCCCCATCGCACTGAAGGAGTGCGTGGATGCATTACAGTCATGTCTGACAGATTTTAAACCGACGTTTAACAACCGACACAATTCCCAAGATGTGGAAAGCAGCCAGAATGATATCTGTGCTTAAGAAGGAATCACAGAAGTATCGACTAATAGCGTGTACCTAATGCTGTTGGAGGGGCATGAAAAACTACCAACTCCGCGGATCATTACAACCAGTCAGAAGAATGATATCAAACAGTTTGCATACCAATCAGAGCGTTCTACACTGCATACTGTTTGGTATTTTGTGCCTTTCACTGCATCGCTTTGGATAAAAATGTAAGACAGTGCGGCTCCTGTTCCGTGATCATACTATCGCCTTTGGGAGCATTGACAGATTGTTCCTAGTATGCTTTTCGTTCGAAAACGACATTCCCCCATGCACATGTACTCTAATGTGCGGCTATCTTACGAATTTTACACACTTCACGCAGTTATGAGGTAGATTTTCCGCAATCCCAGGCAATTGTAGGGTCTTACAAGGAGCTACTCTATCTCCCATTTGTTTTCCTTCTATGTGGAGTGTCTGTCCATACCAACCAGTTTCATCGGGTACAAATACGCTGACGATGTCGTCCTAGGGTAGATAACCCCTATAACGCTAACGAGGATTATACGAACACTTGAGTTTGTCAAGCACCTGCTCCCTTAACCCTTCTAAGTGTTGTGATCTCACATCCTCTTTTCTGCATCTCTACAGATTGCGTTCTTTTTAAATATCTCACCTCCTTTGATCATGAGTGACCAAAGCATCCCTCACTCATATTCCGTATTTTTTCGGTGTTTTTGCCCTACAAGTTATCGTGGTCGATACATATTGTTGAAGCGTTTCACAGACAGAACACTATTCTTTTACTTCTTTAGGCTCCAAATGTTCTCCTTACCGTGTGCTCTAATTCAAAGGTTTGTAAATGCATGAATTCTCCCCCTGGCTAGGCTGTTCCCCCATTTTTTACCCGGGACTTCTTCAAAAGGACTACACTTTTCTTGTGTGATCAATAAAAGTTATTTCCAGATGCTCTGGATTAAGCAGAGAATGCTTCGATGCTTTTGTGATTAGCAAGCATTTTGACGCATGCCATAATTTTTCATCTAAGATTCAAAACAACCCCTCCCACGCCCTACACACTGGCTTAGCAAGTACGGCATCCAAGTCTTCCACGCAGTCGAAATATAAAGTTTATTTTCCCGTACGTACTCGTATTGAAACTCCGTCTTGCCCTGTCTGTCTCGCTAGTTAGTCCATCCAAAAGTGATGATGCATCAATTGCGAGAAGGTTTTGTTACTTGAGAAAAGAATTTTTGTTTTTCTTGTCCATTCGCATCATTTCCCACCGATTCCATGTTGCATTATGACCGTATTGCTAGCGTAAATTGCTGAAAATGCTCCCACACGGGTATTTGAAGCTTAGCTAGAGTTGGCCTAACTTGTTGGCATCGTACCTGATTGGAAGACACCGCTCCTTTTGGAGGAGACAGAGAATAGGTGTTCATAATGGATGATTGCCGTGACACGTGTTCGGGACACTAGTGGGGCATGCGGTAGACCGTATGGGAAGATGACCCACTCAGTCCGCAATTGACAGCACAGGTTGCCGAGCCACCCAGAGCAGTTGGCGGAGCCAATTCATCATCGCCGCACGGGTTGTTATGGTACGGACGTGGTCGTACCTAAAGCCAGACAGTGAAGACCGCTACCAGGGTCGAATCTGTTCAGACAAGAGATGTGAATCACCTCGGTGACAGACAGGCGAAGTAAGAGCATGTGACCTATAAAATTAACCGTGATATATTCCTAATACACATCGGTCTAGCAGGCGTCGATGTTCTCTTTTCGTCCCCGGCTGGGTTGGAGCGCAGAGGGCAGAGGCAAGGGCAGTGTTACAACAACAGCCTTCTCACAAGTGCCCTGGAATGACACGATCCATGACATTGTACGCTTTGACAAGTGCACCACACCTCTGAATTGCAATGTAAGGGTGCAATGGACCAAGGAGACAATAAGCCGATAGGAGTAAAGAAGTCAACATTTTACACTTTCCGATGGATGGCCTTTGCAAATTGTCTGCGATTTGGTGGGTCAGGCAGAATGATTTCGCTATCGGTTATCCCGATCGTTGATGAACTACTCAAAGTGGCCGATCAGTTCACGCAACTTGTTCATCGTGCCCCAGACGGTTATCGAAACACAGAGAATATCGCAGTAACCAGTGATATGCACCGATTAACCTATTCAAATTTTACCAAAGTGAACACGATTAGTCTGTGACTGGGTCGAGAGAGATCACCATCATCTATGTTGTTTGGAGCATAAAATGCTTCAGTTGTTGTGCAGCAATTAAGTAGTTGTTAAGGACAGAAAGAGACAAAAGCAATAACAAAACGAACAACACTGCACTTCGCTAAGGAGTAGACGGATTTAGGTACACTTTTATTTAGCCCATCGCAATTAGATTACAAGCCGCATAGGTGAGCTACCAATCCGAAAAAGCACGAGACGAACGTCTCGTCCGATTGGGACTCGCCAATGGTGTATTGGTAGCTCACCTTTGCGGATTGTAATCTAACTGTGATGAAGCAAATAAAAACATTTCACTTTTCTCCACTATGCATCCGTAGCGAGATCGTGGTTGGACTGGGAAAGTAAGCAGGAGGGGGGGACAAAGAACAAAAACTCAAGTTAGGTCCGCTCTTGGCCGGGTTAACAAATGCACCCAATCAGACGTGTTCATCCCATTTCGCACTCGATACCGGGAGTCTCTAACCGAGACCAAATTCGAAGTCATAGCCTTCATTCGCCTTGAAAAAGTTATCGGTTGGCTTCCACATTTTGTGCATCCACACCGTTTGCGCAAAACCAGGTGCGCCACACGAGCCGATTTATTGGCATGCGTAACACATGGCCCAGCCATCAGTCTGCTGATTAAAGTAGCGACACAGAGCAGTTCATTTGCACCGAACACGCTCGTTGCTCACGCGGTGCTCTTACCAGATGTGAGCTTAACTGCGAAGGTAGTGGTGGCCGAACGTGGCTGGTTTGTTTACATCTGCCGACCTGATGGACCAGATTTCAAAATCGTAAACTTTGCTCTTCAGGGTGAGTGATATCGCGCAGGCGCCATAAGTGAGAAAATTGAGCAAAAGCGCACTGAGCTTCCTTTATACCACTTGCGATCTTATCTTATTTCCCACAGGTGCTGATATAGCAGCGCAGGCAGTTAAATTTCTGAATGACTTCTAGACGATAACCACAAAGAGTCAGTGCACGGCGCAGGCTGTATATGTATATATAGAAGGAGGACAAAGAGGATTCTATGTTTCGAGTTGGCCAATGTCGCATGAAGGTGAAATGGTTGGAGGGAAGGCCAGAGAAGTATGTGAATCCAGACAAGAGACATGTATGGCAACACATAGTCAGTGTTCCAGACTATACGAGAACGATGTGTCTAATGCCATAGAAGATATCACAACACAGCAACAATGTCGGAGCTGAGAGGACAACTGCAATCAGATGAATAAAAAAGGAGAGAGGTCCAAATAGGAGGATGAACTTAGTCAGCTTCATACCGACAAGAAAGTTAAACTTACACCATCAGCCAGTACGACGTGAACGCCATGCCGATTTGTGCTTCGACTTACACATGCGGCGAAGGACGACAAGTTAACCCACTTCGTGATGTCACCATCATTTGACGGTCCGTAATGCGCCCAAAACGCTTCTGACGGTCCGGCCATAAAGTCCGCCTCACGAAAATCACATGGACCAGATAAGGTCAAACCAAGACCCTTTGCGTTCAGACGGGGAAGCCCGCCATCCGCCGAATTAAGATCAACATTGGTGTCAGCGGAATCCGAAGCGGAACGAAGAGATGTGGCGTTACAGCGACGCCACAAGAGATATTCCGAAAATCCACCAGGGCCAGCACAGATATCTGCGAAGTATAAAGTGTTCTGAAAGCCAAGATCAGTGACAGGGAAGAGAAACACGGCGTAAAACCACAAATAATGAAAGATGAACGGAGAGTAAGCGCTCAGTTTACACAACTGACGAATGTAATAGGTATGTACTATGGGGCTATGACGATGAGGGGTGAGATTCTGATACAATCAAGGTTGATAGGAACAAAATGCGGAGAAGATATTCCCAATAAGCAGTATCTGTGACGAGTATGGAATGCAAAGTGTTTGAGGACTGATAAGTATTCGCCCAACGGAGGCAGCACCGAAGTGGAAAGGTAACGCGAAAGTTGAAGTGGCCAGAAATAATTGCTGCAAACACGAATGAGGATTTAAAAAAACTCCGTCCAGGCAACGAGTGAGTAAATCGATTACAAATGAAGCGTAAGTAACTGCTATGCTATTGCGATAAGGATCGTTTACACCATGAACGAAAGGGAGATCTGATCCGCTGCAGGAAAGGACAGTATGAACTCATGAATGCAACTTACGTTTCTCGAAGTAACATTGGAGATCAACCCGTCAAGCAGAGCATCCATATTGGCCAACTTCATGGCAGCACTGGAAATAAAACAAGGGAGCGACAAGCAGACTAGAAAAAGAAAAAATGACAAATCCATATAGCATACGTGTTTGCGATCTCGAGACTACGTAACAACCGAGCCCAACCGATGGGATTCGTGATTATTTATGGCTAGACAACCAAGATGGTGGCACATAATCAGGCGATTTCCGATTGCGAATCGCTATCATTTCCAAAGCGCCAGATGTGAACCCGGGGAGACTGCCTAATCTCGTGGGCTGTAAACAATCACGACTGAAACATTTAATATGGAAAATGAAACAGCAGTTACGACATCCGAAGGACGGGGTTGCATTGGATGACATCAGCAACAGGAGTACAGCAGTAAGTTGAACAGTTATTTCGCTGCTGTACACTGGGCGACATACGGGTGGACTACAATACGTCACCGTACTCGAGAAGAACCGGCGTCGGTACTGAGACTTCTGATAAGGTTGTATTATATCGTTTCAGTTGCACTGGTTCAGATGTGCACACAAGGGACCATGTGCCTAACGAGAGTCTGGTAATCATCATGTTACGTAGGGAGAGAGTGTTTATCCTGTAGATAAATTCTTGAACGAAGACTCAGCAGTCTTTAAATGGTAAGGAAATCTTTTATAGCTAAATGTAACCACAAGAAGGACATGTACCAATGTGGCAGACTCCGATTCTCATCAACTCAAAACACTACAAAATGGCATATTGAACACGGGTTAATTAGCGATGGATAAACAATTTCTAATAACAGCTGAAAATGAATAAACTAGCTCGCTGTGGATCACCCACAGTAAATCAATGATTCAGTTCCCGAGCAACGCCACTACATCCATTTGGCTCAAATGAACTGGACTGAGGCATCAAAATTGGATTGAGGCAGATCCGACACGCATGTAACGAGGTCACATCAAATAATGCAACTGTGTTTGTCGAGCGCTTAGGTACATATGATAAACATGGATTTAGTAGTCGAGCAAACTGCGCACTATCGAGGCGTAAAGCAGTGTGCTGAGTAGTTGGCACACCGTAAGCAGCAGGTCGAGTGATCAAATCCAGTTAGCGGTTCAGATCACACCGGCTCACATTGAACCCAGAAAAGTCCGATGTAAAATAAAAGAAAGATGGCGGTAGCAGCAGCAGACTTTCACGCTGGTGACCAGCGATGACTCATGCTGGATGCCCTAAGAACTGTTGTAGGCTAGTGACAGAGTCCTGTCTCCCGAAATAGTGAAGAACGAGCGCGATATTCGCAATGAAAGTCACGCCAGCGCTGCCGAGGAGGCACAAGGCAGAGGTACCGCAGTATGCGAGCATGCACAAAGAGTATGGGTTGCCATTTATGCAACTGCTAATCGCGCAAACAGAACTGCCGTTTTCAAATGGTAGAAAAACAACGGGACAGAGCTCCAGTACACGGTATGAAAGCGGTCCGGGAATTCCAAAATACGACGAGTGCTAGATGTGAACAGGGAAACCGTAGGATGGAGAAGACAAGAGACGTACAAATTAAATAAAAACGGTCAATACTCACAAACCATCCGCGCAAAGCACGCGCACTGGACGTACCGATTCATGAAAATCCCCTTTTTAAGCTGCTCGTAGATATTGGACCGCTGATGACTCTCAGTTACAACCAAATCAGACAGGTCATCTAACTGGTTCTGATGGAAAAGAGAATTTGGAACAACAACACGAAACAGGTCCAGTACAATGCAAGTAAAACATAAAAACATACAATTTGACTCCATTGAAGGGGAAATGAGAACTCACTTTATATTTAAGAAGCTCAGAGATTAAATGAAACGAGCAAAACTGATTCTGTGCGCTCAAATCATTAATCTTGGGTCCGACTGCTTCAGGGTCGTTAGGAGGCAGAATGAATGACACAAGCGAACTGGGTGGTTGTAGAGAGCCCTGTGAACCGTCGACTTTCGCATCGGGAAACCTAGACCAGTGCCAGATTCGATCGCCTTGCTCGAGGGACGGATCACGATCCTCATTCCAAACTAGCTTAGGATCAGATGAATGGACAGGAACTTTTGTTAGGCTGGAAACCTTGGAGGGCTTCGTGTCTAACCCAAACCCTCTTCGGCCTTTTTGTTTACTGACGGCAACCGGTTCAACCAAGCCTTGCGCATTGGTCCCAAGACCTTGACCAGGCTGGTAGCCCATGTTACGCTGCAATCAAAAGCCAGAAAGAAAATCACTTCTTTGACAACCTGATTTGAGTGGTATACATAGAGCAAAGATGGAATCTGAATATATCTCGACTAAAGAAACTGTCCAAATGTACAGATGAAAGAAAAGGTAATTTGAAACGCTCGAGTAGAATACATTTTGCAACACTAGGACAAAATCTTAATAAGCAAGACCAAAGCGAACATGAGTTCTTCTGATCACATGATCAAGTTGATCGTTAACGGTGCTGACAAAAGGGTAAGAGAGGACGTGAAGTGGAAAGTAGTTATGATAGTGTATACCTACAGAAAAGTTAGCATCAGAGACTGGACGCACTAAATTGCTGTTTACGTGCTCAGAGTTGCAAAGGAAACCACGAGCAGCCCCATTCGCTATGCCATACCAAAAAAACCAAAGCATTATCAACGGCTGAGGACACAGTGATGCACACACGACACGCTGATTGAAGTTGTGCAGTGAAGCTGAAAGAAAATCCCAATAAAGAAGTCAGCGAATCGTTGTCATGCGACACAGGACATCCGAGTTCCTCACTGGAAAGTAACGCAAATGCAAGAGGAGCACACTGCGCATTGCTATAGGTATCGAGGCACCGGATACAACAAAAGTAACTAAAGACGCAAAGTGGTGAGCATAGTGTGGAGAAGGCCAAAATAAAAAAGTATGCGCGCAATGTGCAACTCCAACTCACCATTATCTTCCATGCCTTCTCCCCCAACGCATCTTCTGCCTGTAAAAGGGGCAGGGAATAGAGGATAAAAGTTACAAAGTTGAATGGCGGTTGACCAAAGCACAACATCTATGTTGTCAGAACGCGAACAGTTTAGTAGCCGCAGTGAGAAACAGCTGCTTTAAAAATCGCCGAGTTCCATCAAACGTCAGGGAAAAGTCCTAGGCAGAAGTGGCATGTAGGCAAAGTGAGATAAAGGTCCCAAATGGCATCTGAGTGGACCGAGTATAGGAATAAACACAATGCATTACAGATTGGATCAGTATTAAAACTAGGAGTGTAGAATAAATCCGTAAGCATGATAGACTTGGGTGTTGAGCTGAATTCCGTACCGTCACTGAAGATTATTACTTATACAGCGGTCAGCATCATCATTATTATACACGTTAGCTAGAGGTGGGAAACACTTCAGCTACTGTGCTGCAAGATATAAAAGAAAAAGGGAAAATGCAACAGGTGTAAGCCAGCTGACCTACCGGTAACGAATGGGCACGTTCCCGTAAGCTATCAGCTGGCTACTAAGCAGCAAAAAATTACTATGTAAAATTATATAGAACGAAATAGTGAGATCGTGGTTAGAGGGGGAGGGATGGGGTGGGACAAAGAAACTCAGCACGAAAGCAACTGAGGTCGGCTCGCAGCCATATCAGTAAGTGTATCCAGCCAAACGTGTCCATCGTCTCTCGGACCCGAACCAGGGAGCCGAGACGCTCCAACCGAGGCCAGCTCAGAAGTGAGGGCCTTCATTCCTCTCGACCAAGTCATCGCTTGGCCACTCCTCCTCTTCTTCCATCCAAACCCCCAGCGCGCAAACGATGCACGTCGCGGGAGTCGGTGGGCTGGCATGCGCAACACGCGGCCGAGCCAACGGAGCCTGGTGCGTAAAATAACGGTACTGAGCAGTTCATTTCCTTTTCCTGTGTCGTGAATAAGGCGTCGAACACGCTCGTTACTCACGCGGTGTTCCTACCAGATGTGAGCGAAATTACTAAGGCACCGGTGGTCGAATGTAACTAGCCTCTTGAGGTCCGTTGATTTAAGGGGCCAGGTTTCACAACCGTACAGTAGGGTCGAACGTAACGTTGCATTGTACACTCTACCATCCAGGGCGAGAGTGATGTCGCGCCGGCACCATAAGTGGCAACGATTAGCAAAAGCGTCTCGAGCTTTGGCTATACGAATCGTGATCTCATCTTCAATCCCACGGGCGCTGATACAACTTCCCAGGTAGTTGAATTTCCGAACGACTTCTAGCTGATCCCCACCAAGGGTCAGCGAAGGATGAGGTCCAGACCAAACTTGGAGGAACGCTTCGTACTTCGAGAGTGCGAAGTAAAGCCCGAAGGGACGGACAGCCAGTGACAATCTGTCCAGTGCCGTGTGGCATATTTGTGAGCTGTCACAGATTAGGGCAATATCGTCAGCATACTCCAAGTCAAGAAGTCGTTCTACTGGGAGAAGACATACACCTAAGTCGTGTCTTGTGAACACGATTTCCATGACTTCGTAAATAAGGAAGTTGAACAGGAAATGTGACAGCGGACAAGCTAGTCTCACACCGCTGGAGATATCAAAGGGCGACGACAGCTTGCCGTAAGCTCTCACTCTGCATGAGCTACGCGCGTATAGTACTCGGGTAATATTTACATATTTCTCAGGTAGACTTTCCTGAGTAGATAGTTCCAAAGAGCACACCGACCAACCGAATCCAAGGTAGCTTTGATGTCGAGGAACACGACAACGGCGGGCCGCCAATATATGTGGCGGTGCTCCAACAACTGACGCAAAGTGAAAATGTGGTCAATGCAACCACGACCTAGACGAAACCCGACTTCCTCCTCAAGAATCTGGTTTTCACGAGCGCCAATCAGTCTTTGAAGGATGACAGTGGCAAACAATCTGAAGGCGATGGAGATCAGACATTCCTCTAGGGTTGCTGCATTCCGATCGTGAGCCTCCCTTGGAAATTGGGACTAAGGCGGAGAGGCTCCAATCCCTCGGGACAGTTTCCTGCCCCCACAGTCTGACTAGTAACTCGTGTAAATCATCCACAAGAGCAGACCCATGAATTTGAAGAGGGCTGGAGGAAGATCATCTGGTCCCGCGGATTTATTTAACTTCAACAGTTCGATTTCACGTTCGACTTCTGAGCGAGGGTGGATGTAAAGGGACAGCCCACGGAACGGGGCTATCAGTGGCCGGCGAGAAATCTAACAATTCCGACCGATTAAATTGTCATTCAAAGTGCTCAGCCCAACGCTCCAAGCGTTGTGGATATGCTACCCACTTTCGTCCCGTATAGTTTCACTAACACCAGGTCTCCTGCTGCCCGTTTCCCGTATTAACCGGAATAACTTAGGATGGTTGCCAAGGGCAGCAGCCACTTCCATCTCTGACGGACGATGAGACCACCACGATGCACGGTCTCTCTTCAGGCTAGCACGGAGTCTTGCTCGGAGCTCTTTGCGAGTTTCATTGTGTTCGCTTCCAGCCGGAATATGTCAGCGAGCATCGATAAATTAGAGAGACTGCAAAGAGACCCAATGTCCATGTTGGCGATTAGACTTACCACATGAGGATTTTCTTGCTGCTAGTAAGGTCTGGTGAATATGAGACCAGTGAGCTTCAATTGCATCCAGTGAGCGCTTACTCAACTCGCATGACAGCGTACTTTGATAGGCATTCAGAACAGCTGGCTTCGCCAGTTGGCTGGTGTCAATGCGTTCACAACGTCGCCGTGGGCGTCCGCCAAAACGCATCCGCAGGTCAGCACATACAAGTTCATGGTCGGTGCCCACACATGTGCTCCAAATTGAGCTACAGTTCTGGATGCAGCCTCTCCAGCAGTAAGTGATTACAAGGTGATCGATTTGCGTACATAACTGGTTCGAGGTTGGTGGGCGCCAAGTCACCCTCCGGCGGGTGCTGTGTCGAAAATTAGCGCTCGCTAGAAATAAGTGAGCATCTTCATACAAATGAAGTAACCGCTCACCGATATCATTACGGGAGCCTACACCATGTTGGCCGCACAGATGCAGTTCATCAGTGGATAATTTTCCAACCTGAGCGTTCAGATCCCCCGCCAGCACTACAGTGTCCGAGCTACTTCTGTGACGAAGGAGCTGGGTCAGTTGGCGGTAGAAGTCTTTTAACGAATCATCGCTAGAGTTTGTGGGTGCATAGGTAGCGATAACGAATAGACACCAGTTAGTCTCACGCGACTTCGAAACTGAACGAGCCAGCCAATAGGATAGCACACAGCCGGCTACTGATTGGGATCCAATCAACCAGAGCAGCTTCAGCCCAGGGACTCGGCAATACCAACACCGGCTTGGCCGGTGCTCGAAGCTGCATCGGCACCGGATAGGCGCAATGAGAAAGTGCTGCTAGTGTCACCTGAAGGGGATCGCAAAGTGAGCACAGAGCTCGAGTCTTGCAGGCGGGTCTCCGATAAACAGCAGATATCGATCGAGAGGGTTTATAATGTTCGGGCAAGTGCTACCTGTTGAACGATCTATGGCAATGTGCGTACATTGAGGCATGCCTATCTGAAGGAGGATTGAGGGCCCCAAATGGAAGCCAATGAACTGGGCTTGACCGTTTGTTTGGACATGGGCCTGTTGACAGGGCAAAAATGACGCTTTGCGTTCACATGTGAGTTGAAACTAGAAGACAAACGACCATTAAAGCAAGATGGGGGAGAGCCAAGAATTGGGGTGTTGAAAACAGGGGGATAAAAGTGAAGCTGATACGAGACAATAAGGGTGAAAAAGCGTATGCGGGGGAATAAGAAGACGGCAAAGCTTGAGCAGTAGCAACCAAACCCCTATTCACCCTGCTCGATGTAACAGATAGGGCATCGATTATTATCCTCTGCGGTGGCCAGAGCATCAGGAAATTGTTTGATGAAAGATTCAAGATTCATAAGATTGTGTGCGCAGGATACGGTCAATTTGCCCAGGCCTAGACAGGAGAACGACAAGGGTTCCCAACCAAAGCCTTTGGTTCAAAAACCTTACCGCAAGGCAGCGGGTTTAGTGTTGGGCTACAAGGAGTCTGTTTTAAGGAATAAGGAGCCGCACTCATTCCAACACCCAACCTGGAGGACCAAGAGGCCGAGTTTGTCTGGCCTCTAACCATTGACCAATCTGGTATGAGTGGCTCTGAAGATGCAAAAAAACACCAACCAGCATAGCTCAATGGATCACTGAAGCACACAAACCATCGCACCACGGTAAGGTCCAGTCTCATTGCGGTGGCGCGCAGTAAAATTTTTAGATTAAAGACATATCACGATAAATGAATTAGGATGACACAGTGTTACAGCTAACGCATCTGCAAAGAACTAGTCTCCAAGACAGAGCATATCGAGAAGCGAGGCGTGTGTACCGAGGCTTTAGTTTATTCCTTTGTGAGCATATACAAGGAGAGGACGTTTACGAAAATCGTCACATACAGTATACGACGATTGTTCAAAAAGAAACCGAACGTTCGCCATAACATCTTTATTGCTCAGTGCACAAGATGTTAAGTACTTTCATCCTCAATGTAATCTCCTCTACTGACAACGCACTGTTCTCAACAGTGCTCCCAATTTTGGTAAGCCTCCTGGGACGCACATTCTGGGATAGCGCGCAAGTCTCTTGTCGCATTGTCCTGAATCTCCTCTATGGTCTGGAAAGGACATCCTGTTAAATGGTTTTAAGTTTGGGAAACAGGAGCCCCAATCGGGCGAAACGCGCGTCTGGTGCTTTTCCGGATTGGTAGCTTATCTGTGCGACTTAGAATCTAATTGCGACGAACCAAATCGAGTCATACCCAAATCCGTGTACTCATTAGTAATTAAAAGCTAAGCCCAACCAGTATTCAAAATGGCCGTGTGGATTCACGGCGCTGGCAAGGGAAGACCTGACCGTGACGGCCAACCACTGTCCTCTGCACGGATAATAACCTGCAGGGCAGTGGAGGATGGGTCGGGCTATATCGCAGTTAAGTTTCCATTCGTAATGGTCTGCTGTCGTCCCCTATGACTTAGTGGCATAAGCTGCTGTCTACTTGGTGTTAGCCTCTAGCGGTCATGGGTTCGATCCCCAGTAGGAGACCGAAGGATGCGCATCACCGACGAGCCCCAAAAGGGCGAAACGCGTGTCTGGTGCTTTCCCAGAACGGCAGCTTACCTATGCGGCTTGGGATCTTATTGCGATGAACCAAATCAAATCACACCCAAATCCGTCTAATTATTAGTAGACAGGAAAATGTCTGCAGGGGCTAGGTCCGGAGAATACGGCTGCTGGGGCACAACGGGAGTGTAATGTTTTACTAGACAGTTGCGGATAAGGATCGACTAGTGAACCGGCGAATTGTCGTGATGCGACATCCAAGTCTGGTTTTTCCAAAGCATCCCTCAAATGCGCTAGAAGTTGATGACATGATGCAACACTGATGTCAACTACGTCAGCAACTTCAAGAACAGCTAAACGACGATTTCCCAGGAGGACAGCAAAAACTCTGGAGCCATGGTCATGGTCACTTGGTGGAACGTTGTTCAGGCTTAGGATCGTCGCAGCCCGACGTTCTACCGCATTTAAAACACTTAAACCGCTCAGAGTACTGCGTACGACTCATACGGTCCTTCCCATCTGCTTGGGATAAGCAATTGTAATGTCTTCGTAAAAGATTTTGCCAACTTTGTAAATTAATTCGACAGACGCGCGTTGTATCTTAAGCTCTTTGATTGTCTCTTTGGCACTAATCAGACGAACAGCTTATATACGTGCTCGCTTCAGCGGCGGTATCTTCCCAACCAACAGTCAGAGAGAAATGTGCAAATGGCATTTCGTAGTCTAAGCAAGCCATCACATGCGTTCAGTAGCCGCAGCGCGCTACCTCTGCTGGTTGCCGCGCTAGTTCAAAAGTTCGGTTTCTTTTTGTACACCCTTCGTACTCCTGCCAATTGATGTCAACATATTACAAAAAGTAGATATATTTGTCTAATATGTGTGGTATGGCGCCAAGGATGCATCCGGCATCACAAAGATTGATGCGTTCGCCGATGCATCAAGTTCTCAAGGACTGATGTGATAATGCCTAAATAATCATAAGCGTACAAAACGGAGTACCGTTGTAAGAAACGGACATGAGAACATTTTCCATGTGTGTAGCCGGTCTTCTGAACAGCTAACCCGTCGCGGGGGTTAGTGTTGGTCTGACCAAATAAAATGTAAACCACAACTTGGCTCTGAACACAATGGGATCAGATAATTCGCGACAAAAGATATCAACACAGGCAGTTCATAAGATGGATGGTCGTGTCCTTGAAATTATCAACAATACCCAAGCTAACATACTGTTGACATCCTACGTACTGATATTCGCATATGGTTAACCGAACTACTGCCTTATTTCGCTTCACTGTCAGCCTCTGTCCAGTAGATTTCATTTGCTCGTATACCAAGGTTTTTGAAACTACTGTGAAAACAGGTAAAGTATGATTGGTCAGAATTAGGTTTATAACAAATAGATATCCAAAAATGATCATGCATGACGTTTATACGAACCTTTCGGTTTGAAGGAAAGTGGACAGAGTCCTCTGACATCTGAAATAAAAAAGAACTTTGTAAAAAGGCTCCATCGAACTCACAGAAAAGGAAGTGAATGCTGATCGAGCATATATTACGCTTGAATTTTCGGGACAGTAAAACGAGAACCGCAAGTGGTACACAGAGGACTAAACTCACAAAAAACTGATAAACACACAGAGCACACGTATCCGACATCGATCAGGCGTCGGTGGCAGAAGCATGCAGCGCGAAAATCGACGCCACTGGAACGAACATTTGGAAGAAGTAATTTCGGTCGCAAAGAAGGCGCGGGTAAAAATACTGAAATAAGGTACTGTAAGAGACCTTTGGAGCTTGGTGGACACAAATATATTCCGCCAGTTAAGTCTGCGGCTTGTTGTAGCAGACCAGAGTGGCAAGGTTGTTTGTAGTGCAGGTCACCGTTCTGACCGTTTGAGACATCCATCGATCGACTGCACGGTAGAACACAAGTGTCTATAGGCACATGAAGTTTCTGAGCAGTAAAAACGACATTCATCAGAGCAAGATACTGCGAAGGACTATCGTCAGCGACTTTTATGATCAAAACTCTACTATTAACTTTATCTGTAGTCTCAAGTGGATGTATGCATCCCGAGGCCTCGTAGGAGTCCTCATCGATTCTTTTCGTAGGTTGCAATTCACGACAGCGACGAATATGGTAGCAGAGAGCCTTTAGAATTCCACCGGCCAGAGTGACACTGGATGATGTCGAGTCACATGAATCGATTAGATGTAGTGCGCCTTGTCGAACTGTGTCGTTCATGATGCCTAAAATGTCATACTGACCATCGCGCGACGTAACCTTTTGATCAGAATCTTGATGTAAATGCGCCGGCCAAAGGAACTGGCTGCATTCTGGAGTAACACCGATAACTGCCAACTCGTTGCCAGGGGAAAACATCAGATGAAGATTGGAGAAGGCAACTACAGCTTCAATGCAAGCAGGAAGTGAAAATCCATCGGATCCATATAGGCCCCACCAGGCAGGTGTCATATCCATGACAATTATCAGCAAGGACTTCGCTTCCAGAAGTTCTGTCGTATCCATGATTTCGTTAGGTTAACTAAGCGGAAAAGTCCAACATAAGTTGGATCAATATGTTCTCGAAGTCCTCTACTGTAACAGAATCTCTGTTATCCGCTCTTGCAACAGCGATCGAGCGCAAGAAAGCCTCTTGTTAGGTAGAAAACTATAAGAAAACGACAGGAGTTACCTTCAAGAAAGATACGAACTAGTTTATCACATGCAGCGAGAGCATCTCCGCCAACTGGGGGAAGGATAAATTTTGGATCTGAACGTTACTTTTTCGTTTTGGGTCACTGAAAAAAGACTTGAGTATCTGCTGTGAAAGCCTTTCCTAAAAACGATGTGCGTCAAAGCAAGGAGATAAAGCAAAATAGGCAATCAAAGGAAATGGATGATAAAAATATATTATTCTGTGAGCCAATAAAACCGAAGGTGGGCCAAACTCCTTCGTTGTACCCGGGTAAAATGCGGTGCGTGGTTGTTGGGGGATTGACACCGCGGAACAGGTATAGTGGATAACATGGACTGCTATACTAAGTGAAAGAGCAAAGCCACAGGCAGAAAACGGACAGCAGGCTTCATCAAACTAATCAAGACAAAAAGGTATCAGCAGTATGCCGGTACGTAGTATTGACACTTCGCTGCCGCGCAACCCCTGCCCCAGTCGCATGTGGACTAATGGTACAACGAGGGTTGCCTGGCACCTACGCAGGTTGGAATCCGCGTCCTCAGGTTACAAGGCAAGATTGTGATCATTAAGGCTACTGGGCGACAATCAAGCTGTAAAAGTAAAGAATCAAAAAGACGGCACAAGTTACGCGTGTAATGATGCGTATCGGTAATATTTTTAGCCACTTCCTAGTCAGAAATGAAGAAGAAGAAAGAAATGTCAGCTTATACGCCGTAACGGCGCTTCGCCGCCGCGCGACCACCACCAGTCGCGCGCGGGCTGATTATACCGCGAGGACGCCCACCCCTACGCGGATTCGAACCGGTGACCTTATGGTTGGGAAGCAAACGTGACAACCACTCGGCCACCGGCCGAGTCAAGTACTCGGTCACCCTCTCTGAGTTATAAATTGCGGTTAGCATGCGTGAGAACTCATCGGGAGTTCGTAAGTGGATTGGCCCGTTTCAGTCAAGTTATCGGAATCACCTAGCACAATAGACAAATAAAGTGTATCTGCCAGGTCAGCAGCAGCACGCCGGCACACTGTACCGACGTTTCGCTGCCACGCGACCACCACCACCAGTCGCGCTTTGGCTAAGTATACCGCGAGGACACCCGACTCTACGCGGATTCGAAGCGATGACCTAAAAGACTGCAAGCCAGGCGCGCCATTCTTTCGGCCACCAGCCGAGGACAGTATCCGTACAGAAACAATCATCTCATCATCTCTATTTCCATCCCTCTAAGATAAGCACATTGCAGAGGAAAGTTTGGCGGTACGCCGGCACAACGCACCGACAGTCGCAAGTGGGCTGTGGATACTCTGACGTAGCCAATACCCAAGCAGATTTGAATCGGCAAACCACTATCCTTTAGGCAACCGGCTGACAACGAGTGTATACTTCGACATCACTTGGAACAGGCAGCTAGGAAGGTTTGTATAGTTGCTGGGAAGTTCAAAGAGCCTGAAAAGATTAGCGCACTTACGATATCACCACGGATTGTGATGAAAAGTTTGTAACCAAGTTGCCCAGCTTGGTAAACATCACAACGACTAAACGTAACTACAGTCCTACGTACACCGCAGGATAATCCTGATAAACTCTAACTTGTTAGTCGTTCGATTGTTTGTCGTTCGTAAACCAAATGAAGTGGTTGCAATAGTGATATGTTATGCCACTCCGTTAGTGAATCACCATCAAGATCACTACACATAGCATGAAGGTGAGAAAGTTACTTCAAGTATTGTACGCAAAAAAGAGAAGACATACAGAAAACATACTGAACGGCTAAGAATGCAAAAAGCAACAAGATTTATATGGTTGACGGCATCCGGTTTCGGATTTGACTGTCACTGTGGCCAGCCACAGCACGCCTGCGCCTACAAAGGGACCATAGGACGCTTGCGCTGCACCACCCACAGCTCCATCCACACACCCCATATCCAGTGTAAACTCGAAGGAATAAGACCGGGAGGCATGAGGATGGGAGCCACGTTTCATCAACGGAGCCGGCCCACACTCCTTCACAGGCAAACACAAGAACGCTCTATTAGGGAATCGATAGCACACAAGGCGGTGGCTGGACCGTAATTCGCTCCACACTGAGTGCATGGAACCACTCTTCGAGCCTTGCACGACCACAAGGACCGTGTACCCCGTTCACTCTAGCAACGACCAATTGTCTCCTGGAGCCAGTATGGACGAGGTAGTGGGTAATAGACAGGTAGGCACCTTGTCAACATGCACATCAAGCGCAGCCACACCTGGGATGTCAAATAACAGCCAATCATTCGAAATGCCGATGTCGATTAAAGTAAACGCATATGACGACATAAATACTCGCTAAATGAGCATATAGAAGAAATTGGTTATAAGTGAATCCGCGGGATACCAAGCAACAGCCAATCACTTGAAATAGCATCATCAAAAAAGTACATCTGTTAAAGCATACGGCTAAGGAGACATAGCTATTGGCTAAATTAGCATATGAAGTAACTTGGTTATCAACGAAAAAGCGACAAGTACAAAATGTCCACAAGTTACTCGAAATATGCCACAAACGCAAGAAAGTTAACGAAGACATGCGCAAGTAGCGCAAGCAACGTGTGCAAGTTAATAGATTATTCAGGCATGCAGAACGAACCAATTAAAGTGGAATGAAACTTATCCAGCTTAAAAACACCTAGTTTAAATGTAAGCTGGTTTAGATCAACCGCGGTGTTCAAGTTCAAGTTCAAGTTGAGGTGGGACTGGAACGATAGGAGAATCCCGTGAGTGTTCCATTCTGAGTGAAGCGTTGAGCCAGGAATTGATGAAGTGCTCAGAGGTATTGATGGAACTAAAACGGAACATCCGTATCGCACCCTAGCCAACCAGTTAATGCCCACGTTTCCTGCCCTAGCAGTCCCTGCTGTGGCAATCACGTGGTAAGCAAAGGATAAGAAGAGAAATCGAAGGTACAGAATAAGGAAGTGCACTTGAAATAAGAAAATAATATCAATGCGTGAAGAAAAGTAGAGAAAAGAAAATCGAAGTACGAAGATGCGAGTTACTCAGGAAAATAGAAAGGTTTCGTGTTGCCACCCAAGAGCGTCAAGTTGCCGCTCAAACCCCTTAACCGTAGATTCCATAACACTTTCCGGAAGCATGTTCCAGCACTCGATGACTCTGCGTGACAGTCGGATTTCCGCCCTAATCCGATCGGACCGCGGTTTGTCTAGCTTCAAGGAATGACCGCGTAGAACAGACAATCTAGCGGAACTGAATAGCTCAGATAAATCTGGACCAACCTTCCCAGTTAAGATACGGTAGGTTAGGATTAGGTCTCCTCTAAGCCTTCGGTAGTGCATGGAATGCATTCCCAAACTAAGTAGACGCTCGGAGTAGGTCCGTCCCCGTAATCCCTCGACTAACCTAGTATCCACTCGTAAAACCCTGTCTAGCTCCATTTTGTCCCTGACGAGACAGGGCGGACAAGCCTGGACGCAGTAATCCAGATGAGGCCGAACGAAAGCCGAGACAAGTCTCGTAAAGATGCCGCCCGTCAAGACTCCGAAAGAACGTCGCATTAACCACAACATGCGGAAACCTCTGTTTGCAGCCTTCTTCTAGTTGTCGCCGGAGTGTAAAGTCGAAGAATGTACGACGCCTAGGTCAACCTGGCTAGATACATGGGGGAGTTCGACCCCACCGACTAAGTAGTTAGTAGGAGGACAACCTCCTCTAACTCGAAGAACAGAGCACTTTGCCTGATTTATGGGCAGTAACCATAAAGTAGACCAGTCTCAAAGCTTATCCAATGCTCGCTGAATAGCTTCGGAACCCCCAGGGACATCGACAATGTTCCACAGCTTCAGGTCATCAGCAAATAGCAGCGATGGTACGTCAAGCGCCGTGGATAGGTCATCCACATAGATAGAGAACAGCAGCGGTCCAAGGACCGAGCCCTGCGGCACGCCACTAAGGACAGACTGCCTAAACCATAGGCCCCCGGCCTCCCCTATACACTGTTCTCTACCCTCCAAGAAGGCAGTCACCCAATAAAGGGCGCGGCCAGATACCCCGTAGGAGGTCAGCTTTTGCGCGAGCCTCAAATGAGGTACGTTATCAAATGCCTTCGAAAAGTCGACGAAAGCACTTCCAGTGTGTAGCCGTTATCCACTGCATCCGCCCAAGTTTCGCGAGCCACCACTAGATTCGTCAGACACGAAAATCCCTTCCGGAATCCGTGTTGTGCATTGCTAAGTAGACTAAATCTACTTAGATGACTCTCCAATGAATCTCACACCAGTTTCTCGAGGAGTTTGACTATCATACACGTCAGACTAATTGGCCTGTAATTTGCACGCAGACTCCTGTCCCCATTTTTTAAGATGGGATAGATGACAGCTTCCTTCCATTCGGAAGGTAATACGCATCTGTCAAGCGATTTCCGAAACACCATAGCGAGCGGCCCACTTAGTTCCGCAGCCAACTCATGCAACAGTTTCGGGTGAAGTAAATCAGGCCCAGAGTCCTTAGAAGGGTTCAGCCCTTGTAACCGCCTACAAAATTCCGCCTCCGATACAATAAATTCAGATAGTCCTGAACCCTCTGAGATCCGTCGCAACGAGACTGGACCTTAACGTGGTGCGACGGTTTGTGTATCTCATTGACCCACTGAGCTATACTGGGTGATGACTACGGGCGCCTTGAGACCTACTCCTACCAGGTTGGTCAATGGTAAGACGTCAGACGAACTCAGTCTCCTGGTCCTCCAGGTTGGGGGATTTGAAATGGGAGGGCGTCCATTTCTGTAAAACTAAATCATTGCCACCTCCCCGCTACCTTGAGCCAAAGGCTTTGGATGAGGACCCTAATCGTCCTCCTGTCTAGGTCTGGACGCCCTGGCAGTATCTCAGCCCACATACAACCATGACATTTTCTTCAAACATAAACTTCATCCTGCATCGGCCGTCGCGCAGATTATCAAGGGTCGCCTTATCTGCTGCATACAGCAGGGCGGACAGGCGAAAACATGCGACTGCTGGCGCCTCCCTTCTCTCCTTTCCACCTGTTTCTCCTACTCCCATCCCGACCCCCATTACTAACCTTCCCTCTATAATTCCCAGCTTAATTGACAGCAACCGAAATACCAGTGGAGTAGAACCATCAGCAGCCACCATCCCACCGTCTCTATCGGACGCCTATCGGCAAAAGTCCCTTATAAGGCCACGCTGTCCCGTTTCCATGGCGACATTCAATGTTCGCAATCTAACACAAACAGGTCAACAGGCTGCACTCGCACGCACCTTGGACACACTGCGTATTGATGTGTGCTGTGTGTCCAAAACTAGGATCAATGACCCTAACAGGGTTAGTAAATTAACTGCACCCGGCTTATCCTCTCGTTATTGGTTGCACGCATCCGGAGACGCCGATGCAGCACTCACCGGTCAAGCTGGTGTAGGTATCATTCTAAGCTCCAAGGCTGAGTCATGGTTTGTTGGTTGGATTCCGGTGAATAGCCGTTTATGTGCAGCCCGCATGACGACATCAGCTAAGGTTGATTCACGAAGTAGTACAAAACGCTGTTTGTTCGTGATTTCCATTTATGCTCCCACGGACTGCAGTCCAAATGCTGTCAAGGACACATTCCATCACAAACAGAATGCGCTATTACGCAGTGCTACTAGTTCAGGTATTATAGTACTTGCAGGGGATATGAACGCACAAATAGGGCGTCTGAGCTCTTCAGAAGCTCAGCTAGGTGGTAATTGTGGGCTTAACTCCGAACGGACTGACAACAGTGAGCGTCTGCTGCAACTGTGTGCGGAGCACCAGTTGTTTCTTACTAGCACTGCTTTTAGACACAGTGGGCGCCGAAGTGCCACTTGGCGTCCACCTGTAGCTGGCCAGCGATGGACCCAAATTGATCACATAGCCATAAGTTACAGATGGCGTGGTTCCATCCTGGATTGCCACTCATACTGGAGTACCTGTGTCGACTCTGATCATGCCTTGGTACGTTGTCGTTTCTCCATGAACTTTACCGGGAGGCGCACCAAGCGTCCCCTACGATTGGTAACTGAGAAATTGTCTCAGCCCTCAGTCAGGCAAGCCTATCAAGAAGCACTGCATACCGAACCTCCGCTGTCCTGTCCTAATGACACTGAGCTTCAGTGGAATAGGATCTCGACCGCCATGCACGACGCAGGAGCATCTGCTCGTGGCACTATCTATCGTCACCGAACCAGTCACTGGATATCCGAGAGGTCCGTGAACCTGTTGGAATCTAGAAGACACCTCCCGGCTGGCTCTGAACACAATGTGACCAGACGGGCTATTAGGCATGAACTAAAGCAGAGCCTGCGTGTTGACAAGGAAGTCTGGTGGACCAGTCGCGCTCAAGAAATGGAGGAGGCAGGAGCAGTAGGCAATTACCGCAAGCTCTTCCAGCTAATACGCACCACTGGTCCGAGAAAACCAGGCGTCAGTGAGACAATCAGGGACAGCGCGGGTGCGCTGATACACAATAAGGAGCGCCGTATGGCTCGTTGGGCTGAACATTTTGAAGATCAGTTCAGCTGGCCCCCTGCTCCCGGACCTCTTCCTACTCAGGTGATGCACGACGAGCCATGGGCGGTTAGTTTAGAGCCTCCATCGGAGTCCGAAACGCGATCACAGTCCCTAATCGTTTTCGTGCCGCTGGCCCGGATTTCCACTCGCCTGCAC